TTCTCCAGTCTTCCAAGGATGCTATTTATAGCTGGATTGGATAATCTATCCGTTGAATCAAAATAGACTATCCGTTGCATTTGCTGGCTTCAATTTTGAATGAAGATTGTGATTTGAAGATTCCTCATTGGAATGGGTGTTTGGACATACCCAATTGTTTAAGGAGGGATTCCTTTTTCCACAGAATCCGTCTTCTAGCTGTTGTTCAAGAATTCTGGACTGTAGAACTTTACTCTGTTTGTCTTCTAGTGCTTGTTTAGGAATTCTGGACAGGCTCTTCAATTTTTAGAGGTCCAGACTTTGTCTTCGAGTCATTTGTTCTTGAATCAGCATAATTATCTTCAGTCTAGCCGTTGAAAATCAAGATATTGATTTTTCCTTACCAACGGGTAGAATTTCTTCATTCAAGACTTAGATAATTTTCTAAGTCTTTTCTCACTTGTTCGCTTTTTGAGAATTCCGGTCTTTCTTGAGGCATCCGGTTCTTAGCTGACAAATCCGGAAGAGTCATACTCAGTCTTCCGGGTGAGAAAGAAATCCGCGCTAGTCTTCCGACTTAGCCTTCAGCGGGTTGTAGCGAGACATCCGGTTCTTATGTAGTCTTCCGGATTGGAGGATTTTCGTCTGCTTTGAGAAATCCTTACTTGTCTCTGACATTTCCGATCAAGATATCCAATTTCTGAATTTGATTAAGTCTTCAGGCATCAAACCGCTTAAAGAAATATCACAACTTTATTGGAAATCTCAAGAACTCGGTTTTAACAATATTTCTAAAAAGAAAAATTACATTGAATATTTGAGGAGACCTAAAGTCCCTATTACATTCTAAATACATCATCATCAAAATCTATAATATTTTTCCCAACACAGACCTCTTTCACAGACAATAATGTTATATGAAGTTTAAATAACAGAACTTAACAATCTATGCCATACAATTCGCACAGTAAGCAGAAATAACAAGCAAACCTATTTCACAGACAATAAAAGACCCCTAAATTCAACTTCATAAATAAAATACATCATCTTCTTCTGACTCCTCATCATCTTCCTCAACACCTCCCCTCCTTTCTCTCTTCTGTCTCTGAATTCTAACAGAGCATTAGAATCCTGTGTACAAACAAGAGCAGAAACCATATATATTCCCAGACAGTGACTGTAGGTATTATGTAAATTCACAGAGGTTAAAAGTCAGTGAATATATTACCTTCTTTTTTTGCAAATCACGAAACATATTTCACAGACAATAATCTTATATGAAGTTCAAATATTTCACGAAACATATTTCACAGAAATCAATTTTTTTTTAAAAAAAAGAAGTAAATACTTGAGTATATCATAAACTGGATCCTTGAACTGCCCATGATTATTACTTTTTAAACCATGGTTAGGGCATATGGTCTTTGATACTTCGGAACTGTCCGAAAATCATTAATTACTACGGAGTATTTACTAAAGATGCTAAAATTCCAATGTAGAATAAGATCCAAGATCTGAACCCCCCTAGGGTTTATATCAATTTTAGAAACAGAGAGATCAAGAAAGAGACCAAGGAAAGGGAAGTTAGCATCAGTACTTGTTCGGAGGGGTGGGGCTACTGGCGCTGGAGCTGGAGGGGTGGGGCTGCCGGCGCTGCTATGCTCTCGACGGAGAAGAAGGACGTGGAATTGGAGTTGTCCGAATTCTGTCGCTTGTGGAGGTTGAAGTGGGAGAAGGGAGATTTGAGAATTTTGGGGAAGAAGGTGGGAAAGGAAAAGACTAAGAAAAAAGGAAAATTGAAAAAGAAATTAAATATATTGGGTGGCATGCTTGGAGGCACATGTGGTGCCTCTTTAGCATTCTCCAAACTAATTACATCCCCATCATGGAAAAGAAAATAAAATAATTTTATCTACAAATTTGTATTTAAAAAAAAGTAAAAACCATATATTTGAAAATTTATATAAAAAATTCTATAAAATATGATGCGACATGAATATTTTATTTTATCAAATATCCAATTAAGATATGTGATTAAACTAAGAGGGGTGTATTCAATCAGGATTCTGATGGATTTTTTTTTAATTTTGAAAATCTGTAGGTATTCAATTCAGATTTTAAAAAGTCATTTAAAATCTGAATGTATTTAATTGAGGTTTTAAAAAGTCCTAAATATGATGGTATTCAAAAATTTGATAGATTTTTAAGGATTTTTAAAAATTTAGATTTTGATGGATTTTTAAGCATTGGGCATAAATATAAATCTATTCCCAAATCTCACCCAAAAGCCAAAGATTTTATAAAATTCTTTGGAAACTCCTTCCGTCCTTCATCCGACCGTCTTCTTCCTCCGACCGTCTTCTTCGTCTCTCCTCCATCCTCTCTGGTCGTCTTCTTCATCTCTCCTTCATCGTCTCCTTGTTTCTTCTCTGTTCTTCTTCTTCCTTTCTTCTTCATCTTTTCCTCTTTTCCTTTCTTCTATCTATTTCTTTTCTGAAAGTATTATTAAGAAAAAAAGAAGAAGAAGAGAGGAAGTGGCAGATATATGTAACCCTACGACTCGTAGATTATACGAATTATAGTGAAATAGGACTAACTTTTTTAAACATTTCTCAAATTCAAAATATTACCTCAATATATAAATCAAAAGGCATCAAGTTCCAATTAATAACTCAAAATTATTTTTTTAACATCACCAACATTATATTGTAGTGTTTTCTCCCCTTTCAAGTTTCTCTAAGATTTATGAAAAAATAAAATTGGAATTACGAAGTAAAATTTATGCAGCAAAAAAAAGATTGAATTATTTAATGGGGGTTGCTATAATCACTTCTATTTGGCTAAACACACTATATTTATATATCTTGGTAATATTATATGAATTTAAACCAAAACACAGATTTATAAAAGTGGTAGGTAAGCGGGCAACAAGTTGCGCTACCACTCCTTTCTGGACAGCAAACCCTATTCTAGTGAAACATATTCGTGACCATTCGGAACTGATACATTATTGCGAAAAACTTTACGAACCCGATCAAAAAAACACAGCTTTAGGGGCTAAGGAACCAAAAGTATCAAATGCAAAAGGAACAAACAGGTGTTGATTCTCGGAGTAGACTTTATCATGTTTGTCCACTTTCTTTATCTCAGCCTTCAAAAGAGCTTGCTCAGCTGTAAAACCATGACCTCGAAGGTTCACAAGGGGGACATACCATTAAGGTCCACACAATCATGTTTCCTCCCTGCCCATCCAAAAACTATAACATCAGCGGGCTGCATGGAGGACCTCCCCTTAGGAAGGTCTGTAAGGAAATTTACTGGAGCTTCCTTTTTCGACGAAATCCTCGCACTCGGAAGGACGACATCAAACAACACATCCCGCACCAAGTCGTGTCGGTACTTAAACCTGGGGAGCTCTTTGCAGTGCACCACGTGTTCTCCAAACTTTTCCAAGACAAACTTATGACACACAAGACAAGGCTCATCCACTGGGAACAACGAGATCATTAGACGATATTTAAGAATCGCCCTATATTAGATTTGAGACATGTGCTGCCCTAGTCATCTCTTTCTTGACTTTATGCATGACTACTTTGGAAACAAGCATCCTCCAAATAGCACATACAGCGATTAGCCTAATCCCATTGTCAGGCTTGAGTAGGCCAGGGGAGTCAGGGAGTCGAGGCAACGAACTCAACGAGGACTTTGGGACAGCCCCCCAGCCAAAGGTTTACAACATGCGTATAATAATTGCCGAAGTAAGCCCTGAGGAAGTTGCAAAACCTTCCCCGCACATGGCATCTAGAAGGTTTTGGGCCCGAAGGCTATTTCTCCCGCAAGAAGTCCCTTTCGAGAAAGATTTGATGCAGCGCAACACACAGTCTTTGTCAACCATCAAACTAGGCTCGGAGAGCAAGAGTGACGGTAAAATCGAGGGGGAGGGGGGGGGTTCCGGGTGTTTATCCTTTAAAGTGTTTAAGGTGGAGTCATTCAGAGGCGCAACACCGGACGAACACAACACTTTTATTGCCACAATGAAATGTCCGTCTGCAACCTTCCGCAAACGTTGCTTAACATTGGAGCTTATAGCAGAATCCTCATCCCTAGCCTCTTTCCCAGAACTCGACTCCACCCTAGGTGAATCCATAAGGGAAGAAATCAAATACCGGAACCAGAACCATCTTTCCAACTAGCAAGGACTTGATTGATGCTGTTGCAAAGGAGAGGCCTTGCGATTCCCCGACCTACGTTCCTGGCGGCAAGAAGGTATAGCAACCCAAAGTGTGCAACGAGGTAAAATGAGAAACTTTAACCCACACAACCTTAAAAAACAAAAGAGAAAAGTTAGATGCAAATTAACTTTTAAGGATAAAATTACTCCCTCCATCCTAAAATTAACTTCTCATTTGACTTTTCACGGTCGCCAATGCGACACTTTGACCATCAATATCTCAATTTTTATATAAATATATTTTATAAAAATTATATATTTCAAATCTATGTTTCAAAATGAATCTATTGATAATAAATTTATATGAAAATTCAATGTATTTTTTCCGTAATATACGGTCAAAGTTTAAAATGTTTGACTACAAAAGTCAAACTGAGAAATTAATTTTAGGACGGAAGGAGTATTTATTTATTTTTAGAAGAAACAGATTTCAATCAAAATGTTGTAAATTTACACTATGTTTGGTTCAAGGAATTTGGAAGAAAAGAAAAAAATTGTTTTCCACCATTTTCTCACCAAAATGGTAGGAATTTGGTTTTCGTTCCTCTTAGTACATTTTACCTTCTCATTTTCTTTTCCTTTTACTTTTCTTTTTTTTCTCTCTACTAACCAAACAAGAAAATTATTTTTGTTCTTATTTTCTTTTCCTTTGTGTTTCAAATTTCTAGAACAAGCAGGAATACTCTCTTCTACTTTAAGTTATTTTTAACTTTGAAAAGAATAAAAAATGAAATTTACTCTTTATTTGGTCTGGATATGCTATTGAGAAGTATCCAATAACAAAATGAGAATCTAAAGCCAATAACTCTCCGCACGCGGCCCCGATCTTCATCCCTTTCCTTCGCTCTGCGCCGCTCGTACGCCGGAGGGAATGACGTCGCCCGGCGCGGGGTCATCGGGACGGATGCCGACGTGGAAGGAGAGAGAGAACAACAAGCGGAGAGAGAGGAAGCGGCGAGCCATAGCCGCCAAGATTTTCACCGGCCTCCGAGCTCAGGGTAACTTCGAACTCCCTAAGCACTGCGACAACAACGAGGTCTTGAAGGCTCTGTGCAGAGAAGCTGGTTGGGTTGTTGATGAAGATGGAACTACCTATCGCAAGGTAATGATTTCAGTTCGATTGATACTGTTTATCGTTTGTCTTGCATTCCTGATCTCAGATCTTTTGGATAAAATTTGGGGTTTTGATTGCTTAGGAGGAATTGGAATGTGGGGGTTTTCCTAAAATTGATCTTAGATGGGTAAAGATTTACAGATTTGTTTTTGTTGTGTCACCTAGATCTAGAGTATTGCTCGCTAGGTGTTTGATAGAATTCCTATGAGATTAATCTTAGAGGATCTTAGCCCACTGTTCCGATAACTTCCTTGCTTAAGTCAGTAATCATTATGATCACTTGCAAGATGCTGACTGCTTTGTGATGATGATCCCATGATCTCCCGCCCGTCCCTGAAAGAGGGATATACTTTTTGTATGAAGTTCTTTATTAAATGCAGTGTCACAAATTGTGATGCAAATTAATAATCTTTTGTGTTTGTTCCCGATAGTTTGTTAACCGGGTTTAGCTGTGGATTTTTACAACAGCATCCCTTTAATGGTCATGCATTTAATTTCTTTTTGCATTCTTGAGGAAATTGAATGTGTAAGGCATAGAATTTCTTGAGCATTCTCTCAATGCGAATGCTAACTGTTCTTATAATTTGTCTTACAGGGGTGTAGACCATCTCCAACTGAGATTATGGGAATTTCGGCAAACATAAGCGAGTGCTCTTCTATCCAGCCAAGCCCAATGTCATCAGCCTTTCCCAGTCCGATACCTTCATACCATGCCAGCCCAAATCGGAGCCCTTCACGAGGAGGTGATGCCAATGCCCCATCTTACATCCTACCTTTCCTCCATAACCTGACACCGGTTCCATCTTCTTTTCCTTCTCTGCGTATATCCAACAGTGCCCCTGTAACTCCTCCTATATCATCTCCCACCAAAGGTTCAAAGCGGAAACCCTTATTGGAGTCCCTCACCAACAGTTCACTCTATGGTTCCCACCATGCTTTCTTTACCTGTTCTGCACCATCAAGTCCTACAAGACGCCAGCATTGTAAACCTGCTACAATTCCAGAATGTGACGAGTCTGATGTCTCAACAGATTCAGTTCGTTGGGCCACCTCCCAGACAGGGGTTCCCTTTGTGGCCCCCACTTCTCCTACTTTTAACCTTGTACAACCATTCTCTCAGCAGATCATTCCCCTAACCACGGTTAGTGGAGTTGGTGATTTTGATTGGGCTGGAGCAGCTAAAAAGGCACGATGTGCTGAATTTGATTTTGAAAACGGGAGAGTGAAGGCGTGGGAGGGTGAGAAGATACATGATATTGGTATGGATGGTTTAGAGCTTACTCTTGGGAGTGGTAAAGCTCCAGCTTAAGCCTCGTTTAATATGATGGTGGGGTTTATGCCCTAGCATTGGAGACCTAACTGTTAGCATGAAGGTCTTATTTTTAGTGCAGCATACTTGACCATCACTATTGAACCCACTGGTTGTTACTTCCACTTCTTATGTGGTCTAAGATGTACTTTTATGCATCCGCTCAGTTGCACGGTAATACATTTACTGTGCTGAGAGGCTCTCTATGTGACCTAAATGGTTGCTTATGAATGAATGAAATGTGATGCTAGTGGCATTGGACTACATCCTCTTCATATTTTTAGTTGCTTGAAGGCCTTTAGGCTGTATGTGGCTCACTTTCAAGTGGCCTTTGTCAAGATTGTTTCTTTATGCCTTGTTGACATTTGTAAATTGTAATGAGACGTAGAACTACTGATGCTTTGCTGATAGTTTTCCTCGGAGAACCAACTCTTTAAGAGAATGCATATCGATTGTTGTCACATTAAGGGCCTCTTTGGTGTGTTTTTTGAGGGTTGATATGATACGAGTTCTCCAAAAGTGTTTTGTCGGGTGACCAAAAGTGATAGGGGCACTAAAGTCGTAGGCGACCAAAATTGATATTTAGTCATTTTGATTGCTATATGGATTGTTGTTACTTGGTAAGTGAAGTTACACATAGAATCACACTTGAACCTATGAGTGTATATACATATTCTTGAAACATTGGGGAAACTTTTTATACACCTAAGTCAACATTACTCTTCAACTTCATATACGGAATACAAAATTTATCGGTACGAGTTGCACTAGATTGAATTTACCTTTTCGATATAAAACGTTACTCCTTCTGTCCCATTTTATAACGTCTGTTTCGGTTTACGATGTTTGATTGAAATTATTTTCAAACCATTTTACGATGTGAAACAAAACGGGGTAGTGCTCACAAATTTTTAAAAAAAGGTAATTTCAAAGGATAGCGATACCGAATACTCCGTAAAAAGGTAATTTCACAACTTTGTAGTGTCTTTTAATAAATAAAAAAATAGTATTCTGTAATATATTATTAAAAAAAAAATTGTACTATCATTTCAGGAAAAACAATTAAACATATTTTTCCTCGGAATGAGAATATTGCAGATAGTTTTCCTTTTCTTTCAAAATAATATTACACGGTATTATTTTTCCTAAAACAACGCTACAAAGTTGTGAATCGTTATATTTTTAAAACACACATACATCTCTTAAAAGAGCGTACTGTTAAAAAAATTAAAAACATCATTTTAAATTTTAATATTACAACAACAAAGTCTTATCCCACTACATGGGGTCGGCTACATGGATCAAATGACGCCATTACACCCTATCATGTACCATATGTGTTGTGAGATGATTCGCATGAGGGGCCCCCTTAGCTTGTCTCTTGACCTCTTTGTGTCAAATCTTCTTAGGTCTACATCTTCCACTAGGCCAACGTTAACTCTTAATCGGCGATCCAAAACACGCACATAAGCAAAAATGTGAAATTACTATGCATAGTATGAAAAGGTTAAATTACTTTTTGAAAGAAAGCCTAAAGATGGGATTTTTCATATATTTTCCCCCTTTTATCCTTTCTATACTTCTCATTTCTTTCCTTACCATGTTGCTTTCTTCTTTCTCTTTTTGCTCCCGTTGCCAAATTGGTAACCGTGCATGTTCTTTTGTCAGTAGCCGTGGCACGTAATCAGGTGATTCACCATCTTGATATTAATAAATCCTTTTTACACGGTGATCTACAAGATGAGGTGTATATGAAACTTCTTCCAGGCTATAGTCATGCGTTTCCAGGAAAGGTATGTCGTCTACACAAGTTTCATTATGGCTTGCGCCAGTCCCCTCGGAATTAGTTCTCGAAATGAAATAAGGCTCTCCGTTAGTATGGGTTTCGTCAAGCTCATGCCGACCATACACTATTTGTTTTTTGCCAAGGGACAGATATGTTGGTTGTTTTGGTATATGTGGATGACACACTTGTTACATTGAATAATGGTTTTTTATGTAGGTCATTTGCACAATACCTCGATGATTGATTTAATCTCAAGGATCTTGGACCAATTTTATATTTTTTAGGCATTGAGTGTGCTCGGTCCAAGGAAAGCATGGTGTTAAATTAGAGAAAATATGCCTTAGATATCATTGAGGAAGCAAGACTTAGTAGTTTCAAGCCCGTCGCTACACCCATCCAACGAGGTTAGATCACAACCTTGCTTTGTCCACTAGTGTCGAGATACATGATCCAACTAAGTATTCTCGCATTGTTGGGCTTTTGTTGTACCTCACTCTGACTCGTCCGGATATTTGTTTTTTAGTACATGTGTTATCTCTGTTTATGAAGGCTCCTCGCCCGGATCATCTTAATGCTGCTTTGGGAGTTCTACGATGTTATCTTAAAGGACACCTTGGATAAGGAATTCTTCTCCAAAATGACAACAATTTAGCTATTACCGCCTACTCTGACTCTGATTGAGCTAGTTGTCCTATTACACGAAGATTAGAACAGAATATTTCATACTTCTAGGAGGAACATCGATTTCGTGGTGGTCAATGAAACAAACCACCCAGTCCCATTCATCGGCTGAAGCCGAACATCGTGTTATGGCTAATGCTTGAACTGAACTTCATTAATTGGATCCGTGGATTGGTCGCCGCCCTGTCCGTGCCATGTGTCTCTACTCCGAAAATGTTTAGCGACAATAAATCTACTTTACTCATTGTTGCTAATCCAGTGTTCCATGAGCGTTCCAAACACATCGATATTGATTGCCACATCGTTCGTGAGTGTCTTCAACGCCAGCAGTTTGTAACGACATACGTTCCCACTCGTCTCCAAATTGCAGATATTTTTACGAAGCCACTCCCCAGTCCACTTTTCCGGTTTCTGTTATCCAAGTTAGACACTCTCAATCTTCTTTCTCCAACTTGAGGGGGAGTATTGGAATATAATTTTTTTTGAATATTTTGTATTAATAAAATTCCTTGTAGAGTTGTATTTCCTTAAGTATTTTTGGTAACTCTTGTAATATTTATACGAGTGATTGTATCAATGAAATCAAGTCATTCAATTCCAAAATTTTACAAGTACTATTTTCGAAATAAAATGTTTTAGAAACTACATTGAGAAAAGATATACAACATCAATTCTAGTATATTCATCTAGTTTGACTTTTTTCGAGTCAAACTGGAAAAACTTTAGACCTCAATTAAATAAACAAGATAATGTATTTTTGTATAAAAATTACTTCATTTGATTTATCTTGTTTAGAACTTTTAAACTTTTAATTTATTTTTTAAATATTTAATACAGATTAAGAGTAATTGATGATTAAAGTTCTTCCAGTATCACTCGTAAAAGTCAAAATCGACGAATACACTGAGACGGGGAATATGTTTTAGTACTATTTAGTGTAAATTTCACTCTAAAAATCTTTGTGCCCTTATATATAAGTAGAGATATAATTTGAATCCATGTTTGCTACTACCCTCGTCCCACTGTCTTTGTCCACTTTTGACTTTTAGAACTATTCATCTAAGCACTTTGACTCATCAAATTCTTTCAATGTGTAAGCCTAAATATAGTCATGTATGATCTTGTTTGATTTGTCTTAACATATACTCAGTAGATTATTAATATATAATTTCTATAATTTTTTAATATACAAATTACAAGATAAAATGGATTAAAGAAGTGCATTGGATGGTGTGCCAAAATGTAAGTGGACAAAGACAATGCCAAAAGGTAAGTGCATTGGATGGTGTGCCAATAGGAGTTAAGCTTAAAGAAAAAAATCTAAAAAATTCATCACGGCATAAATACACGTAACTTGATAAGCCCATTTTGTACGTACTTATTTGCTCTATATTTAATGTGGTATTGTCTAAATTTGGATCAATCAAGATAAATTCTCATGTGTTTTTTTATAAGTTTTTGTTTATAACTTTAAGAATGCACAAAAGTTATGTCTCTGTTGAAAAAAATAAAAGTTAGGTAAAAAAGAGCATAAAAGTGTCAAAGTGAGCAACGGTTACGAAGCAAAAAATAGGAAAAAGCAAAAAAAATATATGGAAGAACCAAACAGAGCCCTTTCAGTCATATTAGGCCGGAAAATTTATGTCTGGTATATTAGAACAAACGGTCCGGTTCCAATGATACCGGAAAACGGTGCCACTGGGTTTTTGGAGCACCTCCGGTGCTCTGTTCGTAAAATTAACGGTTCTTACCTCCTAACCCACCCCCTAAACCCCTCACCCTACCCCCACCCCTGCACCCCCACCCTAACCCCGCCGTAACCCCCCACAAAATGTGTGGGGGTGCAGGGTGGGGGGTTACGATGGGTTGGGGTGGGGGTGCAGGGGTGGAGGGTTTAGGGGGTGGGTTAGGGAGGGTAGGAACCGTCAATTTTACGAATGGATCACCGGAGCTGTCCAAAAACCCAGTGGCACCGCTACTGGCACCGTTCTCCGGTGTCACCGAACCGGGCTGTAGAACAAAAGGACACTTTTGTATAAAGCTTGTCTTTTACCCATAAAGAAGGTGATAGAGAGGATGAGAGAGAGGAATATGATAATGCAGGTCGGGTGTGGAAACTTGAACCAAATGGTCGCTGCTCTGTTACTTCAACCTATAGTATAATAGCAGGAAGTACTAAGAGGGATATGATATAACCTTTTCAAAACGCTAACGCTAATCTCTAATATTATTCCTAAACATGCCCTTAGTTTTTGAGATTTAAAACTTTACCACATTTTTACATGCAAAAAAAATAAATATTTGGACCAAATGTCATAACTTTATCAAAATACATATGACTTTCTGTCCCAAAAAATATTACCCACTTTTCCTTTTCGACTAAATTCAATGGTCACTGACTTTTAGTAGCCACTAATGCCACTACTATTTTACAGTATTCTGTTTGATAGTTCCTACCTCTTAGCCCCAGGTAAACCCTTCACCTAATCCCAACCCCAAACCATCTCCTAACCCATGTCAATTGCACTCTGCAAGTTTAGTTGACTTCAAAATTAAAAAAAATTGACTTCAAAGTCAACTAAATTTGCAAAGTGCAATGTACGTGGGTGAAGGATGGGTTGGAGTTGAGACTGGATTGGAGAGTTTACTAGAAAGGTTATGAGGTACGGGACGGTTCCCATGACATTGCCCGGCAATGTCATAGGATGACCCGGAGGTGCTCAGGTGCCTCGTTCGTAAAATTGATGGTTTCTACCCCCTAACCCCCCAGTAAATCTCTCCACCTCACTCCAGACCCGAATACGTCCCAACCCCCTTCAATTTCACCCCACAAGTAAATTTTGACTTTGGAGTCAAAATTAAATAAACTTGTGGGGTGCAATTGAAAAGGGTGGAGGCGTGTTCAGGTCGGGGCGAGGTGAGGAGGTTTACAAGGATATTAAAAAGAGTAAGAATCGTCAATTTTG